AGGTTCCATGTGAACATAAGGAAAAATTTTTTCACTGTGAGAGTGCCAGAGCACTGGACCAGGCTGCCCAGAGAGGTTGTGGAGTCTCCTTTTCTGGAGACATTCAAAACCCGCCTGGACATGTTCCTGTGTGACCCAGTCTAGGTGATCCTGCTCTGGCAGGGGGGTTGGACTAGATGACCTTTCGAGGTCCCTTCCAACTCCTAATATTCTGTGAAGACTTCTTGTAGTGAGATCTATGCCAACCAAGCTATGCTGGTAGCTGTTCTTCCCCAAGGAGAAAAATAGATGTGCATTAATCTATTTTCTGTTGCTTTGTTTTTTTTTTTTGTCTAGATCTGCATTGGTATAATTGAAGAGGTCACAGAGAAAGGAAGGAAGGAATAAGTTGCTCCAAAATAATGATATTGGTTAAAAAATACCTCTTTATCAAAATTACTTTCCTGCCAAAATGTTTAAATTTTTGAGAAAGACAACACATTTCTGAACCCTAACAATACTGATTTGCTTTAAAGCTTGTTTCCCAAAAAACCAGCTAACACTTTGCTCAAAGGAGTACATTTCCTTTACATTTATTGGCCTTCTCAGCCAGCTTGTGTTGTCAGCACGCTCTCCCAGAAGTGTGGGTGGGGGTACTTTACACATGATTCTCTTCCTCCCTTAATTTTGTACCAGCAGTGGCTCTTTTTACTATAAGGCTTTCTGCCTGGTTGTCTTAGGCTTACTTGGGGGTCAATAAAGATCCTGCCTCAGGAGAGTGCTGCTCTGTTGTTTGAGCCCTTCCCATAAGTTTTTATGTGGGATAGGAAAGATGGTCCTACCTGGAACCTCAGTACATCCCAATGTGGGTCATAACTTCACAGGCAGAGCTCAGGAGTCAGCTCTTTCTCAGCTTGAATCTCCATATATTGTTCTTGAGCTTCAGAATTCAAAGTATACTGAAGAAACTTTCTCTAGTTAAAGTTGCTTAAGTGAGGCTCCAGAGACCTGAGCTGAAAATTTAGATCTAATTCTGACTTGACTCAGGCCTAGCTCTGATTTTAATTTAACAAAAGGCAAAGATTTGCAGGGGTTTGCAAAGATTTGAAGAGTAAAACTTCCTGCCAGTGTCCATGTGAACAGATCTTTAGCAGTAGTAGTGAAAGAAATTAAATCAATCTCCTTTTTGAGGAAGAGTAAACCAACATGTTAACATTTATTCACACAGTACAAAGTAGGAGTCAATCTGTAACCCAGTCCTATTATTCACAAATTATTTGGTACCACTGCATGACCATGACAAGGACTCAACCCCAGGAGTCTCTCTCAGGCACCACTATTAGTCCTTTGTGCCTTCTCTTTGTGAAATCAGAAATGCTAACTGCATCTAATATATTAAACATGATTTAGAAGCTGCTTTTCCAACATGTTGTCTGCACTAAAATTCATACTATAGGCATAAATAAATAGCCAGTTCTAAATGACTGTAGAAACTGTTATCCCAAAGGGTCCTAAAGCATTCCCAGAATACAGAATAGAGTGTGCTGCACAAAAGCAGGGAGAGGGAAGGAGAGAAGCTTTTCCACTAAGGCCCTACGACACCGGATCAGATCTCCTCTCATAGAACTGCGTGAAGTGTGTCATGCCCATGGCAAGCAACCCTGACCTCCAGGGTTGAAGACTTACGTTGGAGTGAGCCTTGTGGAAGTCACAGGGCCTAGGGGATCCTTCTGCCATTTGGACATGTTCTTCCAATGAATTCTAAGACCAGGACACACAAAAGACTCCTACCCTACTACTGAATGGTTTCCATAGAGTGCAAGACCATCAGTTATTGAAGACCTGCTGAAACTGGTGGGGAGTAACCAGGTTGCCAGCTGCAAATATGCATCTCTTGTAACTTAATTTAAGGAACAAGTTGCTGACTATGGACCATCTACAGGAAGTGTACTCTAAATGTCTGTAGCCTCTATCGTGATAGATTTAACCAGAAACAGTCTTTGCAGAAGTGAACATCAAATGTAATGTCAGAAAATCTTTCATCTTCCTGTCTGCGACAGCAAGTGTGAGGTAGGAAAAAAAAAAGCAGCAAACTCCACAGGTGTGGGTGACAGCTAGTGCTGACATAGCTATAATGTAGTCAGGGGTTACATTTAAAAATCTTTCTGATTATCATATAATTTCCTCCATTGCCCACAAACCACTTCCTTTTCTACCCCTGAATTCTTCCCCATCTTCTCAGTAGACAGAAAGCTGGTGCCTCTGTGTCAGACAAGCATGAAGTCGGTGGCGGTAACTTTCTGTGTGCTTTGCTTTCATTTTGAAGCCCTGTATGGTGAGTATCATTTTGGATTATTCTCCTTGCAGTAGATGTCTCTATGGAATATAGCCTACACAATGACAGGAGACAGTAAATGAGGCATGATAGCAAGGGGTTGGAGGAATAGAGATAATGAAGGGAAACAGCTGCAAAAGACAGTTCTCAACTTTAATATCGCTGGAGTTGGTGAGAAGAGAATTCCTGCCAGCACAGGGCATTTGCTTTGAAATGAAAAAGTACAAGTTCTCATTGTTTATATTTTTTAGCTCATCTGCTCAGTGTCCTTTTTAGTTGTTTAGACTGTAGTGCTCCAGCCAGCTCCCTTGCTGGGCATAAAGTCTTATAGCAGCATGACAGTGAATGGCTTAATCAAGAGAAGCCAAGTTATTGATACGGACTTGTTTGGGCAGGGAATTTTTATGCTATGAAAAATGTATATGGCATGGAAGAGTGGATGAGATCGTTTTGGTACAGGCTTGAAATGCAGACTGATTTAAAAGGAAGCATATAATTCCTAATTCTATGTTTGAGCAGGGGCACAGTGACAGTACTGATCTCAGCCCAGCCATAAACACTGATGTAGTGGTTTACAAGATTCAGTGTTTTATCACAGCTGCGCAAAGTAAAATACCAGAGTTTACATTTATGTCTCTGAAACCTGCATATTACCAGGCCAGGATGGAAATACAGATAATAGTTGATTAAGAGTCTTGATTTTTTTCATGCATACTGTCCAAGGATTTGGTATGATGCGTCATAGAAGACCTGAGATTTAGTGTGTGCAGTTACTAAGCACCATCTAAACATGTTCCTTTGAAGGTCATGCCAAGGGCTATTGAATATGTTTGCTTCTGAAATTCTAGTGATACAGGATAGGTTTCAAGTCCCCCTGTAGAATTTAGGTACTCCTGAGGTTTCATACAGAATTTAAGCTTTCATTTAAATAAAAACCAGTTTCCAGCTCTTTAGGCAATGCAGATACCCTTCTGAAGGTTAACTAATACAGCAGTAGTATACTGATTGAAAAGATTGAAAAGATGAGTGAAATCACAGGAAAGGAGGATTGTGATCAGTATCTCTAAAGGGCGATGACTTTTCTTAAATCTATTAACAAAAAATTCTATTGATTTTGTTAAATATTTCTCAGCTAGTCAATTTAGCAGGTATACTTGACAAGCAGACTTTTACAAGTGACTGGAGCTATCTAAAAGGCCAATCCTTGTGGGAAGAAATAGGCTGCAATTTTAAGGGTGCAAATAATTGTTCAATCTGATCTCCCTTCTTTCTCCCTTCCTTCAAATGTGGAGGATAGCATTTGGATAGGGGACTGGGAAGAGGGGATGACAAGAGAAAGAGGCTGCTTGTAACAAGAAGTGGTATCTTTCAGGTTTTCAACACAAAAAGTAGTAATTATTATCACTCTTGCTAAAAAGAATAGGGCTGTAAAAGATCAGCTTGATGTAAGACACGTTAGCATAATACTCTCATTTAGAGAACAAGCTAACACGCCAGTGAATGCTGCCAAGCACTGTGGCAAATTCTTGGGAGTAAGAGCAGCATAACTTCTGAGATTTTGGAGGGTTTTTTTGACTTGGCAACTAACAAGCCCTACTTATGATCTATGGATAGGTTTTTTTCAACGTAAATAGGTAAATATACACAGAAGGTGTGTATATGTATATTATGATTTGATAACCCAATCACAATGAAGAAATTGTTTGTAAAAGCATGGAGCCTCTCTGGTCCCTGTAGAGGAACACAGGCAATGGGATTTTGGAGTACAGAGCTGTAGGATTCCACAGCACTTGAGGCCCTTGCTGTGAAACACTGCATATGAGCTTTTGCACATCGATGTTTGCAAAGCATTATCTCTGTTCACCCACGTATCTCTGTTTGGCAATACAGGAGGAAATCACGGTCATTTCTTAGAAGAGTGTCTGAAATATTATCAACAATGGCTGCTGTGTTTGTGGCGTATTTTATAAGGGCTTTCATATTTCACAACATGTGTTATATCACAGAAATAATTCAGATTATAGATTGTTTCCTAGAGTAATTCTGGCCATTACTTGCTTTGCCCAGAAGCACTCCTTTCCTCCTTCATCCTTGATCCTTGAAAGATGGAAACAGGTTAGTTTTAGGCATATGACTAATGACACTGAATTGACAGTGTCATCTTTCAGAGGCCCTTGATAGGTCAAAGCTATAGCAACTTAAAAAACTGTGTGTGGTTTCATTATGCATTTAGTATTAACAAAACAAATGTGCTTGTTTTAAAGGCAAGGTCTGCACTCTTCTTCCTCATATTCAGAGGCAAAAACAAACAGCAAGAAAAGCAAGCAAGAGATTTCTATCCTCCTACTCTAACCCCCAAGTTTTAAAACTAATTGGAAGTGTTTTTTAAACTTCTGTTAGGACTGAAATGCGTAATGGATTGGTGATATTTTCAAATAGCATTGAGTGCGACAAAGAGCAACCAGAAGGCTCAAAATTGCATTCCTGTTAAAATGAAAATAACCCACCTTCCATTGGCCTCAGTGTCCAAATACACCACCATAGAAATGCCCAAACCTCTGCCAAAGTGCTTTCCTACTGCAGTAAAGATGAAATGGAGATGGAATTGTACATGACTGTAAATACACATAGACATAGAATGTACACACACACACACACACTTCCATAGTTTAACATAGCAAGATATTACTTTCATATACATGTCCATCTCTTGGATTCACATCTGAACCACAATATTTGTCTTGACACTCTGCTTCATATGAGGTGAGCCAGGAACAACTCTACACACTCCACATTGCAACACTGCTATGAAATGAAGTTTTGTTTCCTCTTGTCTCAAAACCCTCATATGCAATTAAGTTTACTCTTTTACGAAAAATACCAGAAAGGAACCTTAAGGCCAAATCTAAGCATTTTTACTACTGAATCAGTGAGATTCTTCTGTTCATTTCCAAAAATACTGTGACGTAGTGTTTTGCTTACTTATTTTCTGAGGTAGTATTAGGGAGGTTTAGTGAGTGAATCTCTCAGTATTATTGGACGTTTAAACCCCAGTTTCCTATCTCCTGTCTCACTAAATGTACATTTATTCTAACTGTAGTTTAGCAAATGACATCCCAAATGTGTCTGGCCATTAACCACAAAGTGTTACAGATCCATAGGATTACCCTAGGAATGAACTGGTTCAAATGGGCACAGGAGAAGAGCAGTCAGGCACAGGGAGTGGGGAATAAGTCACCTTTTATTATGCAGTGAGAGCATTCAGAATAGCTAGTGAGCTGGAAATTCATATCAGATCTCACCCATTGTGGTCATCCATGTAGACAATTTTGTGTTTTAATCTCAAGCACTGTTAATCTCATTTTAAAATGTGGTCCCATTATACTATGCTAAGCACACTCTTCTATATGGTCACTTGCTTCAGAGGAATACTAATTGCAGCACATTTAGGAAAATGCTCATTCAGAGAAATACATTACTGAGTTTTTCTTGAAAATAGGCAGTTAAAGCTTCTGGGCCTGAGAGGATACAAAAAGATGTCTCAGCTTGCCATGAGGTCACATGAACTACGTGTTTAATGACCTCTTTCTGTCCTTCCCCATAAAAAACAAGGATTAAAACCATGATCTCTGACAAACATTTTAAACCATCTGGTATAAAAGGGCGATTTCATTAGCTAGCAGCAAAACTGAACTATTCTCAGAGAAAAACAGAGAAATGAAATTCAAAGCTGTTACTTTAGCACTCAGGGTAGCCCCCTGCTCCTCTGGAGCATTGGGGGAATACAGCACCGTTTGGCTCTGTAGATGTAGAGTCAGCATCTGCCTCTCCTCTCAGATTGTCAGGAGCATTTTAAAATACCTTTATTTCAAATGCTGCTCTCATAGCAGCTGTTTTATTTCACCATGCAACATGCAAGTCATCAAGAACTGTTTCTTTAGTTGACCTTTGCTTTCTGCTTTTCAGACTAGATACCATTATGAGGGCTTGCACTTTCCATATCTGTGCCTTCAGCGTATCTAGAGCTCTATTTCACTGTGGGTTGGCGAGTTGTGTGTTTTGTCTGTCTTATCTTCACACCGGTGGTACAAGATGCCAAATACCTTGGTTTTTATCACACTCTTAAGTAATAGTCATGAGAGAAGGACAGATTTTAGAACTGTCGCTGAATTAGAAAAGGGTGCTGACTGCGCACACTAAACCAGGAAGAATATGATAACTAGGAAGAGGGTAAATCAATCAAAAAGAGATAACAGTTTCTATTGCTTTCCAACTGAGCATCACAAAGCATCTTCCAGAAGACCGTTAGCATATGGGTCACACTAAAAATATTTTAAATGAGCATCATTCATTGCAATGGCCTTGCAAATGGTGGTAACTGGGGAGCAAGAATTCAAAGAAAGCATGGAAACTAAAAGATTGCCTCTGTCTGGAAAGAGTTGAGAGTATACAAAGCTACCCAAATGAGAATAATCTTCTGTTCCTGTGCATAGGCAGGCTAGATGTCAGAAATGCCTTGGGAAAAAGATAATTTGTGCTGTGCAATCAGTGCAATACCTGGCACAGCTGGGGACCCACTCTCTGTGGATCTAGACTACCATGTAGCACTAAGAAAAACAGGATGGTGCATCAAAGTCTTTTAAGTATTTGCCCCATATTTCCTTAGCATCATAAATCCTGATGTAGAGGATATTTCAATCTAAGCAGCCTCTGAAGAACTTACTCAGGCTACCAGAAAACAGGAAAAATAGATACAGGTGGTTTTTTTATTACTTGTCTTTGTACCTGCTTGTACCTTTAGTTTTAGGGCACTGCAAAAAGAAAAATCCCAGATGAACTATGAACACTATAAGGCTGTGCTATGCTGTGAGTACTGACATACAAACCATTTCAAAGTGGTACATGCCACCAACCCAGCCAGGAAATTCCACTCTCAGAATTGCCATAGTGGGTGGTGATGGAGGCAGCGGCTTAAAAAACAAATCCAGAGAAATTATTAAAAATGTGCCTGTTTCCTACAATGGAGGCTGCCTATGCACAATGGACTGAATGCAGTTTGATAATCATGAAAAGAAAAAGTTGCTATTGAAAAAGGAACAAAATCTTATGCATTGCTGGAATATTTTCTTGCTGTGTGTATTGGAGCATCTTCCAGATACTCATTCTGGATGTGCCATAAGAAGAACTTTTGGTGCAGTGGGAGAAACAAAATGAAAGTAGATCGAAACGAGCACTTTGGTCTGGAAACAAAGTGTAATGCTGGCTCACTGCAGTCTCTGGATTAATGAGAAATCAAAAGTATGTTAGTATGTTCTTTTATTTGGGCGTAGATTTCCTCTGTATTCTGGGGTAAATTTTACTTTCCTCTCACCTTCTATTTATGAAGTACATCTATTACTTTGCAGAGATGTTTTAAGAATTTGTAAATGCTATATGTATGATCAATATTAATTCTTGCTCAATACATTTTCTTTCTACTTTAATTTTTATATTTCATGCTTTTATCTCATCACATGATTTTATTCTGTAGCACAGACTGGATCAGATAGGCTAATGACACAAATTAGAAAATAACTTCAGCATCTTAACATTGCACAGCTTAGCCCCTGTTCCTGCATCTCTCTTCTTGATTTTTAAACAGGAAACAATTTTGTATTTTTCAGGAGTGGATAGCTGCTCGCCAAGACCATGCAAAAATATAGGTAAGACACATTTGCATAACTTGGTTTACAGTTTTAAATGCCTTTCTAGATCAGAAAATACTGCCCGTGAAGAAAAAAATTGTCATTTTTTACAGCACACTTTAACAGATTTTTGTCTGAGGGAGTTTTCCATGCTATTGGTCATTGACTTTACAAAGTCAGACTGTGAGATAGCAGGAGATCAGTTTATTTTTCTTCAAGAAATTTGCAAAAGAAAAGTTGCACAACATCTGAGAGTTTCTCTGTTTCTAGGAAGATCAAATGTGAATTTTGGATTACATCTGGGCGCATCCACAAAGTAACAGTTGTCTACTACTCCTCCCATTATGTTAGTGATAAAAGTGCTACAGCCATCTAAGTAATTGGGTTTAAACTTTATATCATGCCTCAAACCAGTATTTACTCTAGAAGGGAAAGATAGGTCTTGTGGTTAAGAATTCTATGTGTTCTCCCTTATGTAGGAGTTGTGGGTTCACATTTCATTTTAAGTTTTCAGCTACACCATTAGGGTGCAGAATATGAACCATAAAAGAGATATAATAATCTTTGTCCTGCGTTGTTTTATCTATTAATAGGACAATCAGTTTGAGGCAGAGATTATATAAGTATATAGAATAATAGAATCATAGAATGTATTGGGTTGGAAGGGACCTTTAAAGATCATCCAGTCCAACCTCCCTGCAGTAAGCAGGGACAGTTTTACTAGATCATATTGCTCAGCGCCCCATCATACCTGACCTTGAATATCTCCAGGAATGAGGCCTCACCACCTTTCTGGGCAACCTGTTCCAGTGATCTATCACCCTCATATTGAAGAACTTTTTCCTAATATCCAACCTAAATCTACTCTTTCTAGTTTAAAAACATTACCCCTTGTCCTACTGCTACATCACAAAATCACAGAATGTTAGGAGTTGGAAGGGACCTCAGAAGATCATCCAGTCCAACCCCCCTGCCAGAGCAGGATCACCTAGAGTAGGTCACACAAGAACGCATCCAGGCGGGATTTGAATGTCTCCAGAGAAGGAGACTCCACAACCTCCCTGGGCAGCCTGTTCCAGTGCTCTGTCACCCTCACAGTGAAAAAGTTTTTCCTCATATTCAGATTGAACCTCCTATGCCCTAGTGAACAGGTCTTCCTCAGATTTCTTATAGGGACCTTTCAGGTATTGGAAGGTTGCTAAAAGGTCCCTCCGGAGCCTCCTCTTCTCCAGGCTGAACAACCCCAACTCTCTCAGCCTGTCTTTGTAGGAGAGGTGCTCCAGCCCTCTGATCATCTTTGTGTCCCTCCCCTGGACCCGCTCCAGCACTTCAGTGTCCTTTTTGTGTTGGGGTCTCCAAAGCTGGACACAGTACTCCAGGTGAGGTCTCACCAGAGCAGAGTAGAGGGGCAGAATCACCTTCCTTGACCTGCTGGCCACACTTCTTTTGATGCAGCCCAGGATATGGTTGGCATTTTGGACTGCAGATGCACATTGGCGGCTCATGTCCAGCTTCTCATCCACCAGTACCCCCAAGTCCTTTTCCTCAGGGTTGCTTTCCAGTGTATCTTCTCCTACCCTGTAGTGGTAATGAGGATTGCCCCTATCCAGGTGCAGGACCCTGCACTTGGCAGTGTTTGGTCCAAGGGGGCCTTTATACATTATCAAGTAACTCACGGATCCAATACTAGCAGTGACCTCTCCAGCATTATAGCATATGACAGACCAGGTCTTATCTTGTTTGTTTTCTCAGTAGTGTCTGACATGACCAGAGCGATCTCATTGTACAGGCTGCTTTCCACAGCCAGACTATTCTGAGTACCTACATACCTTAAGTTTCAATCACATGGTTTACTTGCTTTGTTTAAATTAGTTTCTTAACATTGTAGGGATTCTTTTCACTGCTATGTGAGTGACTGTACTTATTGTTTTCATATCTTCAGAACAGTCTCACGTCTCTGACCCCCAGGTGATGGTGGAATTTGAAAATGGAAACTTCAAGTTCACATTCCCCAACCCCAAAAATGTGAGTGAGTTCAGCATGACCCTCTTCAAAGGGCACGAAAAGAAGGAGATCTGTGCACTCCATTTGAGTGAGGAGAATGCTATCCCCAAGAGTAATGTCACCTACTGTCAGACAGAGCATTCAAATAGCAGCACGACTTTCATTCTTAAAAATCTGGAAAGAAAGCATATTGACACTTACACCTACTGCCTGGAGATGTTCTTACCCCCTCCTTATATAGATTGCCGGCTGAAAGAAACCTATTTGTACATCCAAGGTAAGTTTACTCCTCTTCTCCCCCCATTTCAGTTTACTGATAGGTAGACATTGGGCATAGCTATGCTGCAGTGAAAAATGGGATTAGAGTTTGTGTAAGTATTTCTGAGACAGCTTAAAACTACTTAGCAGGTGACTTCTAACAGTGGAGCTGTGTTGGCAGACTGCTCAGCATGGCCTCATTTATTAATCTTCTTGGGCAAGTTTCACAGGCCATGCTGAGCTCTGCATACTGTTGGTGGCACACTACATCTTCTAGAGTACTACAGTCCCACCTTTGCCTGCAGCAGAGATTTCCTATTGTCCATTTTCCAAGCTGCTGAATGCAAATGTTAGATTATTATCCAGGGGAAAAAAAATCCATTCTGAGAGCTATCTTCACATGCATAGGATAAAAATAAAAAATCAGCTGTCAAATATCTGTGATAGTAGTGTATGGAGCTCTGATGCCACACTGATTTGAAGAAGATGGTGCTCACCTTTCTGAAGAAGACTTTTGGCTTTAGAGCCTTCTTAGAGCTGAAGAGATCCACAACTGCTTAGAATTTCTGGCCTTTTACTGAGAAGGGCTTGTACTAACTCCAGAAGACTCGCTGCACAAGCATTAAATTTGAATTACCTTTCACTCAGTGGCTCTTTGGTATATTAAGCTGAAAGACTTGATAGTGTTTTTGCTCACACTCCTTCTTGGTTCTTCATATAGTTCACTTGCAACATGGTACTCTCCTTCTCTTGCTATCTTTTCCTGTCTCTCAACACCAGGACTAAACAAAGATAGAAACAGAAATGCTAAGGCTAAAATTATGTGGTTGGGTCAAATTATCTCTCAGCCCTCTCTGAATTTAAAACAGCATCTCAGAATCAAGCTGTGACATCCTTTTTTGTCTGCAGTGTTTCCCAAAACTGTCCATTTCTATTTGTATGGATGCTCACAGCTATTGCCAGATGTTTCACGTCCTATCATATTTTTTCCCAGATCTAGGCTAGGGTGATCTTGTGTCCCTCAGCTTGCCTTCCTATCCAAACACAACTGCCAAATACCACCCTTCTTTTGACCAGGCTGCCCTTTAAATCACCTGTGGTACTCACTGAATGTAAGCTTAAGCATTGCTTAGATCTGAAATACCATCATGCTTAAACCTGGCTTTATTTCTTTTCAGTTTACATTTTTAGCCCTGTGTACCAACAGTTTCACCTCTGCTGGTTAAACTGCAATG